CGCGGGAAGTAAAAACATTTAAATACTGTGACACCGTAACGAGGGCTATCCGAGCCCGATCAAAACATTAAAAGCATTCCAAAGGTGGTGGGGTCATCCGCGTTGTGCCTCCTCTCCGAGATAACCCCTAATAATTTCTATACTGTGTTTAATGACAAAAGGATTAGGTGCGTGCTCCGAATATGTCAGGTGAGACGCGATACAAAAGCCAAATTTCATGGCCTTTACTACGCTAACCCTTCCTCTTCATCTGCTCGTGTTTTGCTATTCTTCGGCTTTATGGGTACACAGATTAGGTATTTAAACTTATTATTCCAGCTTGCCTGGAGATAAGCCACAAGAGGTTGAAATGGATCCGTGGCACACGACACATACCTCTTTTATTTATGTCAAAGCTGGTAAAAAATTTTATCTGCTACGTCGACTCGGAGAATTTTATCGCTGCTTGGTGACGGATGTGTTCTAAAGCGACCTATTATTTCATATTTAATATCGGTAATTTTATCGGATCGAGAACAGTGGGGTTTTGTCGAAGGCGAAGACTTCCTACAGCTGATTCATTAAATATTCATCGAGGCCTGATCGCGCCGATTCAGTTTAAACTTGTTTTCCGCTCAATTGACAAGGTTTTATAGTGGAATATGGTTGTAGGATTTTTTTCACTATATACCTGCTGCTTAAAAATGTGTTTGACTGAACGGTACAAATAGATGTTAATCATTAAATCTAGATGAAAACCGTTATGTTGTCAACAATTTTACAATTTTTTGTAGGAAAAATTACTCTAAAGTTGTCATGCCGGCGCTATGACGTCACGCACGTCACAACTTTTTCGAATAGACGAAACTATCTTGTTCAAACTTCCTAAATTTGTATCAAATAATCAAAAAGAGTAGTAGTGCTAGACATATAACATAATGGAATCGTATGGTTGTTTAAATAATTTCTATTTTTAATTAATAGAAGACTAGATAGCGAAATGACAGCTATATATGTCTGTCCTTTGTTTTCTAAAATTTTGGCAATTTTGTCGGAACTTTGTCTTTGACGGCACCCCTTACAAGTACTTTACTGTATGTACAAAGACTGCCACATTAGGAGTGCAAATGTTACGCCTTCATTCTTACCTTGCTTGAGACATTCGTTACGTTTCTCTTTCTCTTTAGAAAATATGACCAATTTGCCCTACCTTGCAGCAGCAATAATTTTCTAACCATCTTATAAATTTGCTTTCTGCGCCCCCTAGTGAGAAATAGCGCTACTATACTTTATATTTCTATTAACTGATTAGGTCTCTCATTTTCTGCGACCAATCAAAACTTTGATACAAATTTGATGCAATTGTAGCCACACCAGAATTATTATCAAACTTTATTTTATGATACGAAGATTACGAAAAGGTTTTTATCGATTCATCTTTATTTATTTAAAAAATTGTGAAATAACGTATTCTATAGTTAAAAATAAACTTCTGCGTATTTCGTTTCATTCAATAAAAAAAAATTGCCGCTCTATATTTATGCTTGGAACAATTTGAAAAGACGTTGTAACTGCTGGTGGCGCCATCTGCAGACTAAAACGGAGTATATTTAAATATTTGCCACGATTCGTGGCGCCCTCGGACGTCGAGTAGTACGTACTCTGTTATTTTCGTACGATATACACGAAGCGACCCTATTTGTCGTATGCAGGCCTCATTCCTTTCATTTTTATAATCACCTTTTCTGCCTACAAAGGAATTTTATCGATTATGGATCTGTTGCCGTATACTTTATCTACTTTGTGAGGAAATGCAGTTTACACGGTCTCTAAAAAATAATCACCACAGAAACATTAACTTGTTTGGAGAAGAGAAATAAGAAAATAGCAATAATAGCGTCTTATATTGTTACAGCGTCGTTAAGAGTGTCATAACTTTCTTCACAATGCAGAGGCATTGTTATTTTTATTTTCTTAACTGTTATTTGAAAAAAATCATGATTCTTTATTTCATAAGCATGTTTTTGCAATGTGATTTGACGTATCGATCGAATGACACTAAGCATTGAGTCAATCGAGCGTGAACGTGACTCTAAAATCTCGACGGGTTAATTCACGTAATCGAATTTTTACAAATTAGGAATTTGCTAGTTGGCTGGAAAACGTGATAGACGTATAGACAAACAAGATCGCAAAAACAAAAATACGATAGTGTTTCCAACAAACATGTAACTCAAATACGACGTTATCTGCACATGTTGAGCAAACATTTGTAAAATGCGTTATCCCTTCAATTTTGTCACCTGTCATACTAAAAACAACAAAAAAAGGTCGCGCTTGGCGCGTGAATTCAAAAATTGGCATAATCGTGTTGTTATAGTAACGGAACATATGATTCACCACGCCTCGAAAGTGGACATATTTCCCGTTTCCGGGGGAAAAGGGTGCCAGAAAAAGGGAGGCTGAGTGAGTTGAGTTGGAGTTTTCCCGAATCGGTGCATCTCTGGGGGAAATGCGAGGGAAAACATGAAAATTCGCTGATGTATTTTTGTGGAGAAATGACATATCGGAAACGTATTTTGCGCGCATGCGCAACGCAGATATGACCCGAAGTCAATGGTACGGCACACTCTCCGTCTCCGGGACGAGTGCGTGAAAATGGTGAATTCTTAGGCTCTGCGAACAAGTCGAGACTGGTTAATGTAGCGAAAGATAAAAGTCGGTTTATGTGGTGCTCCGGTAAGTGTTTGAGTGGCACAGATCACAGAAATCCCTAAATGACGTTGACCGGGTCTGAGTCAGTAATGGCGTTTTGCCGTTCACAGACCTAACCACGGCAGAAGATATTGAAATGACATTTCACAACATCCGATCAGCTTTTGCCTGCATCGGGAGGAATTTTTCAAGAAATTGTTAGTGCAATCGTGCGTCGCGACGCTTTCCCAACTCTTGTAGGCTTACGGAAATCTGTGTAATACACTGTGATACTAACAAAATGTGATATTATTTAGCGACTGAAATGAATTTATAAAAGTGCTTTCCTCCCAAAACTCCTATGCAGTGCTTTTCTTGGATAAAACAACCCGATTCATAGCATACATCGTGGTTTCGAGGGTGAGTACGGATCGACAGCAATATGCCTCCTACCTCCACCCGACGTTCGTTTTCGTAATCCTATCTAACCACCCTAGCTCGTTCCCGCTAAATTACTCTAATTTACTACGTAAATTATGTATGAATCATTTACAAACTCCCCACAGACTCGCTAACCATTCCAGCAAAACCCACAAATAAAAAGTTGGGTTATGTTCTTTGTCATAAATCCACACTATGGATACCTGTCATTTCGTGTTTATTTAGAATCCTGCGCTAAATGCGAAATCAAACAAAGCCCGACTAGGACCTTGTACTTGCCTCAACAATTTCCGTTATTTCTTATGTCTCTTTCCTCCTTTATCGCCGTAATCTCCTAATTGCCAACATTTATCTCCTCGACCGCATTAACAACCTTTTACGGCCATTTCATCCCATACAACCATACTTGCCAATTTATTATTTATCACAATAAACAACCATTTTCTTATCTCGTGGCTATATTTCCATTGTATTTCACTCATAATCTTTCTCTCCTCGATAAAGGCCCCACGTCATTCAAGTACGACTAATCCCAAATCTGCCCTTCTCCGCTTTGACCCAGATCAAAAACCGCTGCATTTCCGGCCCTTGCATTCCTCTAACCCTTGATTGATGTTCCTGACACACGTCCTTCTCGCGAGATAAAAATCGCGCTGCCGCGTGTGAGAAAAGGGCATCGATTGCATCACGAGCAGGGCGGAGGTCATTGCCTTTAATGTCTTGTATTGCGAACCCTAATTCAACTCTTTACCACCCGTTTTGGTGTCAAGCCATCGCTATAAAAATGAATGAAATCTCAAGGTTTCGCGTCGCCCTACCACATTCCATCGCATAAATACCGGGGTTAAAATTGATTTTTCACTATTCCTACCTTGACCACAAAATAAATTATTTTTCGCTTCTTTCCGACCTACTCCCAAAGGCGAATTATTATTTTATGCCGACCGGACACTTCCACCCTTTATTTATTTTCGAATGATATACCATGAACTGGGACGGCTATAAACTCTCAAAATTATTTCGGCCGAATTTACGACCGTGTTGCTAGGAACCCAGGACTATTTGTTTTATTAAAACTTCATAATGAAATCGTTGCGACCTTCACTTTATCGCACGTATTTCCAAGAAAATACGGCATTGCTCTAGTTATTTTCAACTAGACAGCCAATTATCATTTAATTATCACCGATCGACGATTACCTTAATCGCACCTGATCGAATTTTCACTCCGACGATTTGGGTATCTACCGATCCGACACGCTTACGGAACATCACATATTCCCTAATTACATTTACTTTTTATTTTATTTATTTATTTATATTTTTGTTTGAAATGTGTCACTCGAAATACAGGACACATTTTTTTATCATTTTTATCGTTTTTAGTTATTTTTCTAGTCATAAGTTTTCGTTCTTAAATCCGAGTTAGCTGTACCTGTTTTGCACATAGTGTATCGTTGTGTGTACAGTAAAATCTCGTTAATCCCTATATAAACCTATATAACAATTACATAACGTAGTATTAAAATTTATTTATTTATTTAAACCACATTTGTAAAACCGAGTCAACTTCAACGAACTGCACAAACTACAACGTTGCAGACTATTAATAATCCAAATCCGCCTTTTGGGGCTAACCTTTAGGTAAGTATTCTATTTCCACCGTTTACTAGTTTCCGCATTTTAACAACCCATTGTTAAGGTTGACTTGGTATTACAGAACATGTCCACTGCAATAATGAAACAAGATTCATTGTTCGTGAAGAAATCAGGGCATCTTATTGGCTCCGATAATATACCTGAGTCGTAATCATGTTGGGTATGACGCATTAGCGTAGTAGGGAGAGGGATTAACCAGATTTTACTCTCTACTTTGTAGTTGTATCATTCCAAAATTGTTTTCGCCTTTGCAACATACAAATCGTGAGACCGTATGGTGCGATCAAAACAACGCCATATTGTGAATTCACAGTACGCGATCACAACGATCAGTGATTATGATTACTGAATAAGAGCTACAACTGAACACTTTTTTATTTATTGAATAAACCAAGTAGAGTATAGACGAATGGTTGCATGTTGTAGATGCGAAAATAATGTAGTGCGAATGTAACCCATTGTACCTTTTTTTTTCCTTTTTCTTTTTTTTTCCAAGCAATTACATTTCCCTAGCAGAATGGTGTAAATGTAAACCCGACGACTTTCAATCAAAATACAAAAGATTCACTGAAGGTGATAATCCTTCGTGTTCGCTGTGTCCACCCTTGACAAAGTTATCATTTTGCTATCTTCTGTTGAGGCAGTTGGACGCAAGGTATGCTCTGTTCAGTGTTCGGGATTATGTTTGTTTCTAAGCATGTTGTATTTATTTGTTTTTTGTCTAATCTCATGTAAACTGTAAGCTTGTGCCGGCGTACATTACCGCGTACGTATTATATTGTTTTTTGCGCGATGGAATGTGTATGGTTTCGACATACAACAGAACGATGTCAAAACACAATCAGAAGCCCTAAAATAATCTATAAATCAGATTTGAGACGTTACGTAACCTTGATATGTTAACACCACGAAATCGATAATTTTAACGTGCGGTGGTTGAAATTGGCAGAAGGATTCACCGAACGTCATATTGGTATGGAAACGTGAGAAAGAAAATGTGCTTTTGAGAGCAATTAGGGTTCGTATGGAGTTGGATTTATTGAAAATGTTTGCATTATCTTAAGAAAATAATAGCTCACTGATTACGGAGATAAGATAATATTATTTGATTGAACGTGATGTCAAAAATGTTCACTTTTTAATCGCGGATTTGACGTCATCGTATAATAAAATAATTTTAATTGTAACCTCGGCAAGAATTTATGAAACATAACCCGTGACGTGATTTCGGTATGGTCACCCTTGTTCTATGTAAAGAGCTTTGACACGTGACTTTAATAACAACGATGTTGACTCATTAGCTTGTGTTATAATTAAATATTTTTCTAGGTATAGCCATGGACAAAACGGATCAGAAAAAGAACTCTAAACGTCATGGTTAGTGTTTGATGCGTTTATTTTTGTTTTTTGTTTTTTATTGTAACGTTGTAGGCACCAGCGAGTCTCATGCGACGCGCCATATCGCCAACTCTAGTTCGGGAGTTTTAATGGTGGGTCCAAATTTCCGAGTTGGAAAGAAAATAGGCTGTGGAAATTTCGGCGAATTACGCCTAGGAAAAAATCTTTATAATAATGAGCATGTGGCGATTAAAATGGAGCCCATGAAATCGAAAGCTCCACAGTTACATTTGGAGTATAGATTTTACAAGTTTTTGGGTAGCCATGGTAAACTAACGCACGATTTATTTACGTTGGGTCTAAAATTAATTTATTTGCAGAAGGAATTCCAGACGTTTATTATTTTGGTCCTTGCGGGAAATATAACGCTCTGGTGATGGAGTTGCTCGGCCCTAGTTTAGAGGATCTTTTCGACATGTGCGACCGAAAATTTTCTTTAAAGACTGTTTTAAAAATAGCGATACAACTAGTAAGTGGACCAGAATGACGACAAACACCCTCTAATCCCTCCACTTGCAGCTGCACAGAATTGAGTATGTACATAGTCGACACCTTATTTATCGGGATGTTAAACCTGAAAACTTTCTCATTGGCCGAAGTAGTACAAAACGCGAAAAAATTATTCATATTATAGGTAAGCTCCGAAAACGACGAAACCGGTCCGTGACGAAGCCACTCAACGTCATCTGTTTGCAGATTTTGGTTTAGCTAAAGAATACGTGGAAATGGAAACCAATAAACATATTCCATATAGAGAACACAAATCTTTGACCGGAACGGCACGGTATATGTCGATAAATACGCATCTTGGCAAGGAGCAATCTCGCCGTGACGATTTAGAGGCTTTAGGCCATATGTTTATGTATTTCTTGAGAGGATCTCTTCCATGGCAAGGACTCAAAGCGGACACGCTGAAGGAGCGATATCAAAAAATAGGTGATACGAAAAGAGCTACACCTATAGAAGTACTATGCGAAGGTCACCCGGAAGAAATGGCAACTTACCTTAGATACGTACGACGTTTAGATTTTTTCGAAACGCCCGATTACGAGTATTTACGAAGTCTCTTTCAAAATTTGTACAACCGTAAGGGCTACCCGGACGATAACGAATTCGACTGGTCGGGAAAAACCATGGTGAGTACACGTCGATGTTAACGAAAACGGACCTTAACAACGTCAACGTGACGATTGTTTACGCAGCCTGCAAATTTGTACGTTCTGCAGCAAATGAGGCACGCACCCCCTTCTAACGTTATCAAAACTAAATCGGCAAAGGTAAATGTAGCAATTTCGAACGCTTTTGGTCCTGTAGAAGCTCGAAGTAACAACTCGATCCAATTCTCAGACACACTTTTCTTATGTTGATGGAGTTCTAATTAGATTTTCCCGCAAATTTGCATTTTAATTTTCTGCTAGATTACATTTTGTGCAATAATAAAGTGTGGGTTTGCGCCTGCGTCGTCGCATCGGCGACAGCGAAGACTGCGGTTGCTAAATAGTTCGATTGGAAAAAATGCGTTATCTATTCCATTTGCATTTAAATTTGTTTGCAAAATTTCGAGAAAAATTAACATTTAAATAGATTTCTATATACGGGTTATTTTCTCTTTAAAATCAATACCGATACGCAACATTGGCACTGGGTGCGTGCATTTTTGATGTCTTAAATTATTTATTTTTATTTTTGCTAATGGCGGCTGTTACACGAGAAATGGCAGTAAAGGGAAAATTTATTTCTACTTAAACAAACACATTAATCGTTTACTGTTTTTTAACGTACTTAATTAACATGTACATATACAGTGTGACGAACGTACTCATTTAAACACAATACGAAATACAAGACTGATAAAAATTAATCTAATTTTCACCAAGTCTACAATTATTACACAAAGGTCAATTACGCTTGTGAGTAATTCATTTCAATTCTTACGATACGATAAAATTGATTCTGTATTTTTTCGACTTTTACTTTACTTAATTTAAGTAGTCCTGTTCCAGTTGCAGATATTTAAAGTGGTTACTTAGTATTCCTCTGCGTAACCATTCTTTATTGACAACTGACCTTAGACACTATCATTTAACTAAATAAACATTTTACTTGATCTTTGACACAATATTTACTCGTGACGTGTGGCATTTGTGAGAACTATCCGTTTTAAAAACCATTCCGTAAAAGCATAAAATTAACTGTAAGAACGAACATGGTCATTTTATTGGTTTATTTATGTGGCAACTGGTTAAGTAAGTAATGCAGGACATTCCGCGACCTTTGTTTATTTTGGTTTTTCACAACCGACGATAAATTTAAAACGTCAAATGTCATTCTGTTCGTACTAAGAAGTCGTACAGGTCACGCTGTATTGTAAGATTACCAGCGTATTTTGAGAGTTTATTCATCGTTTTTATTTTTAACATACAATAACTTTATTAAGCTAAATATGACACGTGTTTATCATGACTAGGGTTATTTTTATTCACAGAATGTGCTGCTAAAATTTCCGTACTTAATTGAAGTACACTTTGTATAATTACGTGTTCCTTCCGTATTGATATGTACTAAAACATATTGCTACCTCTCTCTTACACATACAAATTAAGTGTAAGTGGGTGTTGTAATATGTGATTGTTGAATTATGTAACCCAATTTAATAGGTGAAGAAGTTTATTGTTAATAATGTATGGCAGCATTTTTACCTACACTACGTTCTATTTTGAAGAGGTATAATTTACCAAATTTACAAAATTACTGGCTTAAGAGGAATACAGTGGAAACGTCAATAATCACGATCAATAAAAAATGAGTAGAACGTGATTAATTTGTTTTTCTTAATTATAAGGTGTATATTTTTATTTTAACAAAGTTTTACGTTTTGTAGTCATGTGCAAGCTGCGGTCAATGTGTTGTATCTTAATTTAGACACCATAATACAATAATGATCAATAAACCCCAATCCTGTACTACAACCGTGCCGTCATATTTTACAGAGTACTCCTGTTGGTTCTCTACAGACTACAGCGCATGAAGTAGTTGTATCACCAAACCGAGAGAGGCATTTAACTAAGGTATAGTATGATTTGAAACTCTTTAACTTCTTTCTACATGAATGAAAATCTATTAATTGTATTGAAAGTGTTCCGCTGAATGGCAGTCCAGCATGGTTACCAACCTCGCATGTAAATAAATAACTAACAGTCACTAAATTGAGCGTCACTGGGACTGCACATCTCATTTTTGATAAAACCACGATTTATTAATAAAACTGTGTTGTTGTTGTGTGTACCCATATACCGAGTTAGTTGTCAATCAAAACTGTGACGACATGTTGCTTGTGACGTGATCACGGTGTGAGAAAGATGCATTTGTGGTGTATGAGATGTATGTGATTGTGAGTACGTGACGTGGCCTTGGCTGGCCTGACCCTGCTTCAGCCTTGTGTGTGACAATAACCGAAGTGCATTAACGATTAAAGTTGAATCCTTTGTAGACGACTAGTAAAGCAAATGCATGGCCTGAAGCTTCGAAGCAGAGTACGTTGGGCAACTTGACGCCAGCTGACCGTCACGGTTCTGTACAGGTTGTAAGTTCTACGAATGGCGAACTGAACGCCGACGACCCCACGGCCGGACACAGCAACACTCCGATCACTCAGCCTCAGGAAATAGAGCTTCTCGACGAAACTAAGTATGTATATCGTGGAGTTCCGTACCATTGTATATTTATTCGTTTTCTTTTTTTAAGAAAAAGAATATGTGTGTGGTTGTCTTTTAGGTGCTGCTGTTTCTTTAAACGAAAGAAGAAGAAAGGTGTGCGCACTAAATGACTACAATATAGCGAGACAGACCAACATCTCACACTATTGCCGTGTGGACATAGTAGTGCTGCAACACTTAATTGACTATGTTAAAATGAAGACTTTTGTCAACTTGTTACGTTGTACTATTTAAATAGCTAATTTAGGTTAGCCTTAATTTAATATAAGTTAGTTTAAGTCATACCATATCTGTGAACGTCTACGGAAGCCTTACTCGTCCTCGGTTCTGTACTTTTTCATTTATATTTTTAATCTTAACTAGTTTGTCGCTATTTATTATTTACCAAATACTACGTTGTATGATTATTTGACTTAGTGTAGTGTGTGTTCTAGTAAACATTTAACATATTATTTTTATCTATGAATGAGAATATGTTGATTTTTGCGAGTAAGGCCGAGTTTTAGTATGTTTGATAAGGGATGATTCTTACTGAACAATGTAAATTGAATATTGAGGTGTAAATAATCTAACAGCCTTCACCGCATTTACAATTGTTTGGAACACGCGTCATTCTTAACGCCAAATTTATTATTACTATTTTTTAAAGCTTGCTGTTTCAGTTTGTATATAGAATGTTCGCATGTTGAACGTTAAAATATTTAATTCGCAGCCTTTTTTCCTTTTTTTATATATACATATATATTAGCACGTTCAATATGGGGACCTGAGGAATTTTAACGTAAAGTTGTGATTTAATCGTTGTATAAATTTGCTTTGTTGTTGATCTCAAGTAAAAATTGATCGACTGCTTAACTCTTCTTTCAACCAAGAGCAGCCTGCAAGTTTGCTATATGAATTCAAAAACTTGTGGTACTGCTTCATACCAACATTTGATTTTAATTTCTTTTGTGGCTCGTATAAATATAGAATGTTAGAACACAGTGTTTTCTTATTTCTAAAACCCTTTTTTTTTTGTTTTTTGTTAAACTCGGCGAACTCTAAAATTTCAACTTTATGTAAATAAAGCAGAAATTATGGATGTATTATAATTGATTCCATTTTTATCTTCCTACAGTTTTAAAATTATTGTAATATGTATAAATTGTTGAACTCAAATTAATAAAAGATCCATGCTATACTCTGTAGTTTCCTTTGTTTCAACAATAAAGTTTACTAAATATCCACGATATTGACAAATTTTGGTTCTACGGTTAAAACAAATTGACAAATTACCATGTCACTCGCCATATTGTTCGAAAACGACAATCATTTTAGTCATATATAACAATGGACACTTTGGTGACCTTGAATGAACGTACATTTGGGAACAGCGTGTACGTGTATACCATCAACTGACTCATTTAAAATTTTGTTTTTTCGTGTCAGTTATGCAACTGACATTTTAATTCCAGTAACTTCCAATTACGAGTGAGTTTTTTATCAATAAAACAACAATTTGCAACATACATTTATTAGTAATTTAAGACATTACATAATAAACCATGTTTTGATAACGTCTATATAGAAATAGGATGGAAAATCCTATTCATAAAAATCTGTCTGAAAAAAACTTACAACTGAATAAATACAATAACAATCTCATAGATTAAAATTCACAGTCTATTTTAGTACACTTTTCAAATCTGAACACTGCCAAACTCTTCAAATTATACAGATATCTTTCTTGCAACGGATTCATGGGTAACGGTGTGGTATTGGAATGCAAACTTTTAAAATCTATATGAAAATAATAAGTTACTTTCCACCAGCCACGTGATTAAAAAGTAACACACATTTAATATATGTATATATAAAAAAGGAACTATCACACTATAAGACAACTAAATTAATTATTCAAGCTTGGTTATGACTCATGTGAATTCACTGAAACAATTGTAAGACACAAATTGCAAAATGTAAAAGAACTGCAAACTATTACATAACCAGTTAAAATACATAGTTTAAAATGAAGCATGAAGACAAATTTATTTATCCTTACTCTCCCCCACAGCATTTTTATGAACAGTAGTAGTAGTAATAACTTTCCCCAAAGGTACAAAGTTCTCGTCGTTTTGATGATAGTGTTCATCGACAAGTTTCATCTTCTTGGTAGGCGGTTCAGAGTTGGTCGTGACAGTGCCGCCATCTAAGTCATCGATATCCGGCTCAATGAACCCCTTCTTGTTCTGAAACCCGCCATAGTCGGCATCAAAATACGACCCCAACTCGCTCTTATTGAACAAATTCTTGATGTTCCTCACCAACGAGTTAAAGAAATTGTCATCAGAATTATCCCGCTCGAAGTTCATGTTCTCGTACTTGCTTTCCATCTCTTCAATAGCCTTGAAGAACTCGTTCTCGGTGTTGTTCTCGTTGTCAACACCGTCTTCATCTTTGTTGAAAATGAAGAACTCTTCCATGTTGAGCCCGTCGTCTTCTACCTTCTTGGTCGACAGGAGAGATCTGCTGATAGTTACCTGTTCTTGTTCTGTAGATAACTCTTTATTCATTTGTGACAAACGAATGTTGGGGAGGGAAACCAACAGAACTGACAGCATGACGATCATGAGACAGGTAGAAGGTGTGGCTTTTGACGACGTTGAATTGAATATCAACGACTGTAGTTTGTTAATGTGCGCCATCAACGTCTTGTTTTTCTTCTGCAACTCCTTCACCCTCTGCATCAAGTTTCTGTTTTCTTCGGAACCCCGGCGGACTCTCTCTTCCAGTCCGTCGACGTACTCCTTTTTGCGCTTACGGGAATCTTGGGCTGAGATCTTGTTGCGGATTTTTCGCCGTATGCGCTTCAACTCTCTGTCTTCTAATTTGGTCAAGGGGTGGTAGGCAGGTAGCTGAATTCCTTCTTTGTCCAATAGACGCTTCTCTTCTGAAGTTAGCTTCACCTCGGATAGCTCCCCCACGGGCACCGTAGGTTCTGGCTCCTCTAAAAAATACTAATAGAGTGAGTTTTACACGAATTGGGATAGTAAACCTTTAAGTCTAGTTGGTTCCACTTTACGTCTACATACTGAACTAGTTGGAAGAGTAGTTACATGGATTCTCTCGGTTTTTAACTCACTAGCGTTAAGAATTTTTATACTTTTTAAACCATAAGGGAGTATTACCGGCTTGCCGTTGGTTGTCAATGACTGGACTTTCAGGATTTGCTTTTTCCCGATTTTTTTAATAGGAGCTAGAAAGGACAAACTTGGTAAATCCAGTGCTGACTGCGGACCCATGTTGGGCGACAATACTCACTGTTAATTATAGGTTTATTGATAATCTTCTTGTTGGCGGGGTTTTGTATAATGATTTTCGTTCTCGGTTTTGGTGGATTTATAATGACAGGTGTGGGTTCAATTTCAAAACTATTTTGTACGGGTTGTAGAAAATCAAATAAGGAATCATCAATAGCATCCACCGTTCTGAGTGGAGAAACCCTACAAAGGAAAAGATCACCTTCCACAAAAGGATCTCCAAATGGGAATGTTTGTAAGGTTGTAATTTGTGTTTGTGGCAGTTTAGGTTCAATGTCCAAAGGGAGTCTGAGGTAAACAAAGAAAGTATCCAGCGGGCGAGTAAATAAAAATATGTATTTTGATATTTGAAATGAGGCAGTTTGCGATAATGACTTGTTCGCAAACATTGTTCTATGTTTGTGACAATAAATTCGGAAACTTATGTAAAGATTTAACATAACATTAGACTCACAATGTCAACATTGCATGCTAAATATGCCGGTTAATGAAAAACCGAAGAACGTGTTGACTCGTTTCTGAACACCAAGACATATTGCATAGTGCAAACAAATGTCACGTATACTGATAATCAAATCCAAAATTACGTAACTACGAAATTGGCATTTTGAGAATTCAGGAAACATGGTGTTCCAAAAAAACATGGTTTGTTTGTAGTTTAGAATACGAGATGTGAAAGTGGGACACGATTCTACTTCCATATGGTTACGGCGTGGTGCTGGTACATCTAACCTTAAAATCTGTTCATGGTTTTTGATAGTCTGGTTGTTTGAAGAGTATTTTCGCTATAAGTGGATTCATATTGAACTGGCGTAAAATACGTACGACTCATCTGTAAAAATGCTGCTCCTTTCGCTCTCAGAAATATCATTTCTTGGCGAAATATAGCCATCTATGTGTGAGCTCGTGTCGCTCGAAGCAGTGTTGAACTCTTCGGCCGAACTGTTAAGAAAGTCGTCTTGGATTCCATTTTCCACGGACCTAATCGTATCGAAAAAATCCGAGCTCTAGAACAAATTTATGAAGGTCAAAGATTTGGTTTTATGAAATAATAAAAGCATAGTGCGTTCACGGTGCTGCTTATTGACCTTTAAATCCTTGTTTAAGATAATGAGATAAGAAAAATTTATTAGTGCCGTTTCGCAACGTTAGGCGTAGACGGTATATTTTTCGGCGGAAAACCGCAAACTAACCATGAATTCGTTGTTGTCGTAATTCAGCATAACATCCACATTCTCCATTTCATTGTACCGCCCATCGTCAGCCTTAAAAATCTGGGAGAGGTCCGGGTTAAACATTTTGCATTATCTTGAGGTATTTGACGGGAATTGCACTTTTCACGCACTTAAAACTAGAACTGTACAAGTTTGCGCCCGAATTTTGCAATATGTTACGCCGCACACTTCGATGTGAAAGCCATGACAGCCAGCGTGGAATTAATGACGTCACTAGACAGGTTTACCCCGTCTGTTCTCTTTCCCTACTAGTCGCGCATAACCCAATGGTGAGTTCGGCGTTGCATACCTACTTCAACCGAAATATCGCTATCTGGTGCGATTCGATTGGTCAAGGGCGTGGTGGGGGCAGCTCCCCCTCCCGGCGCCATTATCCGCGCTCTCGCTCGCACAGCCTTCTCGCAATAATTGACAATCGACTCAGTTGTAATTTGGGAAGTACAGGGTGGGTTATTCGAAATTTATGTTCGAAATCGTAAAAACGCTGGATTGTTAGCAGCGATGACTTTAAACTGGAAATGTTTTCCCGGGAATAAAAAAACTTTTGTAAAAGCATAGTTTGAATATGTCCCAATCTTTTTAAACTTTGGCACAAATCCAGTACTTTGTCAAGTATAAAAACTCAAGCTGGGGAAAAGGATTACGCTGCAGATCTTAAAATTAAGTTTAAATCCACTAAATCACGACCCTGAATTTTACTCGCCGCCTCATAGATACGCTGCAATGAATTATTCTCACACTTTTTTTTTCTCTCTCGCGTTAATTGACTTTTGAAAATCGCTAATGGAAAGGTGGGTTGCGATACAGTCAAACACAAAAATCCCTTCTCAAATGACGTTCTCTCGTTAATTATAACTAGAAATCGACGCCTATCTATACTCACAATTTCTATCTTTTTTTTGTTCGATAAGTGAAACTCAGGTCATTAAGTCATTAAAAACTGATAGTACTCAAGAAGGTCATATCTGATAGCTACACTTCTATATTTACTTAAAAGCGTCGTCAAGGTTTTCGATGACACTGATGCGAAAAACGAAAAACAATAAATAATTCTCGCAACTTTTTGTTTTGAGACGATGTGTTTATGCGACCTCGACTCACTATAAAATAAAAATATCCAGGGATTTTCCGCAGCACTTCGCATCAATATATTAATTTGAAGTGAACAACCTAACACAAAAAATGTGATTTACATTTAACATTAACAACGGGGTGAAAATAAATCAAAGCGTAAATCAGCAGGTATTCATAACGTAGCACCAAGGCCTGAATAGGCAACCTATTATACACGTAGTTGAATCGCATTTGATCTACTCTTATCACCACGGACAATATTTTACCAAAATTAATTACTTTGTTGATAAAGTAATTGACTTTGAAGTAAAGAAATTGACACTAACGTTTTATACAGTTACATTTTGGTAAAAACTGACGCCAAATCAGTCGCAAAATTGCTAATTGACATTGTAAATATTGCTTTTGCAATTAGCAGCATAGAAGCAATCGTGAGTTCGTGACGTGTTAACTCAGTAAATTAATGAAATGAGCTTGTGGAAAATTATAAAATGACGCACTTTTATTATGAAGCAAATATTACTTATTTAATTGCGTTGTCCACGCATATTGATAAAATTTAAAAAAAGATGGCAATTATCTCTGAGTGCTTTGCTGTGTATTTACCGTGTTAATTTATTTATGAGTGTGATTATATATGAAGCAATTTTTTAAGCATACATGTATGTATTTGTTGAAATGTTGCTCATAATTTTAATTTGCTACGTTTTTCTGCGTTTTATTATCTTTGTTAGTGCGACTTTTACTTTCCAAGCGTAAACTTTCCGTGTGTCTGTCATCCGTCGTCCGTTTATCGTCTACAGACGATTTTATTAGACAACTAACGTCTGAAACTAATGGGCCGATTGTTGTGGTGTTTTAGACTTGTTTTAAGAATATTGTGTAAATAGTAGACGCTCACAAATTTGTCTGGTCCGCCCCACCAAAAACTTGATGACGTCATTTCAAAACAAACAGAAATACAGTGTTACGCCTGGAACAATAGTTGTGCAAATAACGAAATGTGTGTTCTACAAAAAATCAAATCTGTTCTTTTTTTGCCCATAGTTGCGTTCTTTCTTATCTGAATGCTTTTTTAATTCCGTTTACTGTTAGTTACAAAATGGTTGACTGACACTTCTACAATACGCAATAATATTCAGGCTATTGCCTAAGTAAAATGTTGTATAAAACAAACTTATCGAGTTTTCATTTTTTGCGGTGAAATTTATTTTCTTTTTGATAAGCAACAAAACAAATGGAAAAGTACTAATACTATTTGTCATCACGGTATTGTTGACCAAGTTTGATGGTTGTTACGCTATAATACTTAAATAAAACTATGATCCGATAAGGACAACTGAAGTACAGCTTTGTCTAAAATCGTGTTCATTCGTTACCTATCTGATTCTGTATTTAGATATTTATTTTTTATATGAAATACACACGGTTGTTTCTAACAAAGTTTTGGTTGTGACGAATTATTTTGGAAACGTCCATGACTGTAGCTGTAGGGCTTGTTTTGTATATCTTTCTGAAATTTCCGATGTATTTTCTTATGAGTTATAATTCGGGAAAAAATAAAGATATCTAAAACACATAAATAAAGTACAATATTACCCTCCTCTTATCGGTTACACACATGCATATTTTAAAAACTATATAGTCCATACATTTTAAAACCAATATACATAATCTTATCGAGAACAAACGTAGTGCAACGATCTTCCGGTGTGCACGTATAGGTTCAAAGTAGCCCTAGTGTAGGTCAACAAGTTTAAATGGTGGAAGGTAAGGTTATAATTTTTATATTGTGATCATTTTGAAGTGTGTGTGTGTGTGTGTTATTTGCAAAAAAGAATTTTTAATTACGCCTAAAACGAGTTCAACGTTAAATTTAACCAACATAATACTGCTATTATAATAATTGTCATCAAACAAACTAAAAATATTTCGGTGTGCCCAGACGCTCTGATACGCCATTGGCTTTGATTAAACAAGTGACAGGTGCGTGTGTAAATATTTTAATCACTAGTTTCATGCATAAATAGGATATTTATGTCCCAGTGCATCGTGTTTATTAAAAAAAAACTTGTTTTCATGCAAAGCATATTTTAGTTCACTGATAAAACAATGTAGTTATTTATCGATTCCATGCTACATTCAAACTCAGGTAAGTGTTGTATATATTTACGTGTAGTATAATTTAAATTAATAGCTTCTAGCAATTTAGGCAAGTTAACTAATGGGTACTAATAACTATTTAGAATAGCTGCATGTAAATTATGTGGAGTTTTTATTACCCGTTTACTGGTTTCACAGACGTAAATCATAATAAGGGTAAAATCAGTACAGAACGCGGAAGCACACAATGGATATCGGAATTTCTCTTTACTTTTCCCGTTTAAAGCTGAATTAAAAAATATTCGGCGAAATGTTTCTCCACTTATAAAATACGTGTTTCTAGCACAAAATACAATATTTTAATCTGTGTTTATCTTCTTCAAGATTTATAACCTTGATTTATTTTTGTGGCGCAGCACGTGTACAGTGTTGTTACTTTTCTAGTTTCCATGGATACTGTGGACATCAAAACGAACTACAAAAAGAGTAGTGAGATTCAGAACTGTTTCCACGGACCATGCAGAATAATGACGTCATGAAATTGTTAGGCGGAAACGGGAGACCTACTTTTTCATATTCTAGACGTTACGAATCATCAGGAAATAAAAATTTGATTTAACGAAAAGAATTATTAATTCTGTTGGGGGCAATAACGCCTGTCGTATGTCAAGTTTAACTACACTTTGCTTTGTGCTTACAACAGGTTTTGTGTAAAATCGCACTTTAATCAGGTTTCTTTGTAATAGAAAAGTATTCCGTCTGAATAAAGACAATCTATACATACCCCAACAGTCCCCGTGTTTATCTTTCGCAGTTGAAATTAGTTTGCGCTCCGTTATTATTTCACCGTCAATGTGATTGTGTACATTACTGTACGTGCGTAAGTAACGTTAAACTTGGTAATGATGGCGTTAATATTGCCATTTGTTTTTACTGCATAGTTCCGGAACGACCCGTATTTGATCCTACGCGAATCGATACGTAACCTTTAAAGTCCTTATTAATTATTTATGAAAGATGTGCTTCTACACAAAAAAGAAAGTCGTCTTATTTCTAATGGGCACGTTCTTTCAAAGTTTGTTTAATCCTCTTTCGGAGTTTTTTTTTAATTTTTCGGCGTATTGGAACAGTGTCGTTAACGTGGAGGTATTAACGACCTTTTTAATATATAAATAGAGCTTTATTTTATTAATAAGGCGGGTTTCTGTTTTAGTATCCTATTTAATTGAATCTACAGCATAAAATGTTTTACTAATATAATTTGTAGGGTCTTATTGTGCTCGACAAACAAAGGAGTCTTAAATTAATTGTTACGCATGTAGAGTTTTATTTGCAAAGGTGGTTACCAGTTTTTGTAGGCTCTTTGTGAGCAAGAAATAAAAACTGTTTGTTATTTTATATTTTACATAATTACTAAATTCGTTATCTTGTCGTCTACAACAGCATCCACGTTCTACCAATTCTTAACCTAACTTTTTCACAGTTTAACAACATCGTCGTTGTAAAGTGACACTTTAGAGGTAGATCTACCAAACAACAAACTGTGTAGTCACATCTTAATCCATGCGCTTATCATTTTCGGTTTTCACAATTGTGCTGCTATACACTGATTAATTATTATCTTAGATTTTATTATTCGAGATAGCGATTTGCCACAACACAAACAATGCCTTCAAAATTTCTCAATTTCGATATAGCTATAAATTTCCATCTTTACAATTAAGCAATTCATTTGAATATAAAGGTTCTGCGGGCGACAGTGGCTAATTTTATAACAGTTTTGATGACGTTCTAACACGCGATTTAACGTGTCATTAAATTCGGCTTTATCAAATGTCATTGTCTTCACTAATAAGCGCAGTATTGGTTTCGATTAGTCCATCAAATAAGATGAACCACTGCCTACGAAACAAAATCTAGGTTATTATTTTTATCAATGCGTGAATAATAGTAATTTTTTTATATCTCCTCTGATTATTATCGAAACTTTGACAAGATTCTCGTGTTCATTATTTGCCCGATCGGGCCGCCAGTGTAACTGCGTCTTAACCCATAACGACGAAACATGATCTTCTAAGCCTTACATGAGTAATTTAATAATGAACCACACATGTCAAGCTTTTCGAATTAGTTTTTAATATATGGTGGATTATTAAATCAGCTTGTGGCCCTAGTCGAATGAAGTAAAAAATAATAAATTTGTGTTGGCACAGAGCAATTAATTCGCGTCGTGTTTTCGCTGTCGGGATAGTTATTTCATATTTTTTATCCACTTTAGCAAAATATAGCTCGCGTCTCTGCTAATGCGTGAAACTTTGAAATACGTTATACGTAACCATAAATAAAGCAAGATCGTTCTGTTTTTAAAACTGTCGCAAAAACGATTGTCGTTTGTTTGGTGTTAATTAGTAATTTATATGTGTGTAATGTGATATTCAAAACAAACAAAAGTTGCCAGTTTCCGACTAGTAAAGTTCAAGATTTTATTTAGATCATTGATTTTATGTGAAAAGTTAATCGTCTGAAGACAAGAAAAAATTATATATGTTGCGGCGAGCGCAGCGAGCTCCGTCCAATATGTTCAGTAATATTAAGTTACATGCAAGAAAATCTCTGAACGAAAATTACATGTGGATTATAATGCCGTGTTATTTATAATTTGTTATTACATGTCATGCAATTTTCATGTTCAGCATGATAATTATATAAATAGTTTTGTAAAACGCAATAATACAGTGACGTGACTTTTCACCAGAAGACTCACAATCTTAACTTTTATTAATTAAAGCTGACTTACTTCAACAATGAGTTTTAGTTTAGACGGCGAAAATAACATTTGTGTCGTATTCTAACCGAACGTGATGACATTTAACTTTAAACATTAATAATTCAAATGTTTTCTATTATTGTTCTAATTACAAATTTAACAAGCAAATTTAATTCGATATCGACGGAAGTTCCAAGTAAGCTCATATTTTTGTAACAGATCCGATAATCAACGTAAAAAGTTGGCATACATTGTTGGATTTTAATGATGTTGCGCTCATTTTGTGGGTATTATGTAATGTGAAGAATTCGTTTTGTAACTTTTTTATATACATAAATCTGGGTATTTTGATCTTTACGGCAAATAAAGATGACTGACAACTCACCCTCTTCACGTTTCACAACGTGTAGAATACGAAAATGTCGCACTAAAATTTTTCTGTTACAAAATTTAAATACAAAAACGTATGAATAAAGCAAATTCTTGACCGAATTGAAACAATTTATACAGGGCGTTTCAGTGAAAAGCAACTACCTTAAATAAGTCTGCTCTTTTCTTTTGAGAAAAATCTAAAAATAAGCCAATTTTAATTTTAGGACTTGACCTTGTCACTCTTTACGCATGTCGTATAAAACTTGCTGCGCCTGAGGTTGAATAAACCACCCTTATTTTATTTTAATACAAACGGGTTATCCTAAAAAAATAAACTTAGCATAATCAAAATTTACGATTTATCTAAGGAACTACGTAATGGAGTGCTTTAAAAATGTTAGGAAAACACTGATTTAGTGGCGATAAAATACTAAGATTTTTTTATTTATTCACGTTCTCTTGGAAACTGATTTCACATTAAAATGTTCGTGAGTAATTTAAGCTTCACCGAAAAATTAATAATTGGTAAAGGAAGGTATTACGAACAAGTGGGTTTTTCTTATCTTTCCGTATAGATTTATCTAAGATATGTTGCCAAAAATGACTGCTGCAAGTCGAAATCGATTAAAATTTTTTACGTAATTTTCAAAGTTGGTTGAATACAGACGAGTTTTCAAAAATGAGGATGAGTTTTAAAAATTTGAGCTTTTGAAAAAATGTACGAAAAGTCTGCAAAAAAATCAGGGATGTTGATATCGACGAGCCAATTTGAAAAATATTGATTGTTGATAGTCCTAGTTCAAGATTTTTGAAATATTCGAATTTTTACTTCCCGAACGTAAGCAAAGGAAGTATTGTAATCGAGTCCGTCGGTCGACTCTCTACTTTTATATTTTCTCGACCTTTCTGACCCCTAGAAGACGAAGAAATAGATCTCCCGTTTCCGTCTGTCTGCCCGTCTGTCCATCTGTCTGCCGTCCCAGATTTTTATTAGACAGATAAAACCCTAACTAAATTTGTCTAATCATCCCCACCACTAATGTGATGAAGTCACTCCAAAATTGTACATAGGAAATGGGCTTTAAAATGTATAAAATAACATAGTCCTACACATGTAGTTTATGACTCCGAATCGAATTTTTACCCGAAACGTACAGATTTTTGGAAAAAAAATCAAAATTTTGAAACAACATTTTGCAATTTAATTTGGAATCTGCAAAACCGAATGCTTTGAAATCTTGCACATGGTTTACAGTTATAAATGAGAATGATATATTTTTAATCAAAATATATTTACTTATTTCCTCCAAAAAATTGATGATGTCAACTCAAAAGTTTGCCGGAAAAATCCTATCTAAAATGTAGAAAATATGATGAGTCTGTACTTGTAATTTATCACTCCATTCATATTTTTTTGATTTGCATATACAGGGTGACTCAAAAAAATTAATGAATGCGTGAATTTATTTTACTGATTTAAACAGAAACTACAAAACCGAATGCTTTAAAATCTTAGAGATGGTATGGT